CGCCCCCCTGCCACTGGAGACTGGGTACAGGGACAGGAACAGGCTCAGAAGTGGTGTCAGTGATCCAGCCAACCCGCTTGGTAACTGGTACTGGACCTGCGGCCCCAGTTGACGGCCTCCTCCTAGTCCTCCCTCTCCCTGGACCCCCAGGACAGATGGCCCACTGGGTCTCGATAAAGGGTGAGGTGTCGAGGCTGGTGGGCTCTGGAACTGGAGACATATAGAGGGCGCCCACTTGAATGGAGGGAAGGACAGGCCAAGGAGCTCAGGAGTGCGAGGGCCTAGCGGCAGCAGCTCTCTAGCTCGCCTGGGGTTGAAAGGACTCACGGGATGGAACCTCCCTCAGTGAGAGCCATACCTGCTGAAAAGCCCTACCCACGCGGGTCCCCCCAGCTCCCGGTGGTTGTCTGCTGGACCTATACCTGGTTGGCTCATCCTGTATTTGACAAACAGGGCTTAGGTCTGGAAAATGGTGTGGCTTGTTGTGGGGCTCTGAAGATTTATGATGGCATGGCCTGACACCCCCCACTTTAGGGCCAAATAATGGGTAAACATCATTTAACTTGTACATTGAGCTTTCATATGAATGCTCTCCCATTCTTTGGCACATTTAATTGTGTATTATTGACTTGTTACAGGGAATCGTATTGTAATTCTGTATGTAAATGGTGTGTGTGTGTGTGTGTGTGTGTGTGTGTGTGTGTGTGTGTGTGTGTATATAAAAATTGAAGTGAAAAAAAGTACTGCAAGCGAGAAAACCTCAAAAAACCACCAATTTCTGCTCAGTGCATTACATTAAAAACTTGCATAATGTGTGAAAACAACATAGAGTACCTTCTCAGTATCTGAAGGTAGAGTGTATATCAGTACTGCCTGACTGAATCTGCTGTGCCTCTGGAGGAAGCTTTCCAATGTCAGAAAAAAAAAACCCAGTGATGTCACAAGGGTCTAATGAAACAATACTGAGTTGCAGTGTGGGACATTGTGATAGGGTTTTTTCTGTCCATGGTTACAGAAGAGGTAACTTCTGGCCAGCTGAGCTTAAAGTCAGAACTGTGGAAAATATGGTTACATAGTTCATGTCAAGCATCATCTACCTCTTCCCCTACAGGATACTTGGGCTTTCCGAGGCCGTTTGGTGCAAGGTGAGAGGATTTCAATGTGAGGATACAGCAGGTGTGCTTCAAAAGGCTGCTACTTCAACACAGTGTGACCAATCACTGAGCTGAAATAGAAATATTTGAATACAGTGATTGGATAAGGAGCAACAAGGGATGTTCACAGGGTAACAGAAGGTGTTCAGTTTTCCTTTTTGCTAAAGCAGAGTTGTTTTTTTTTACAATGCAATCCTTAATTTCATTTAGTTTGTGGAGGAATGTAATTTATCGATTACTCACAGTGGAACCTTGGACTGTGAGTAACCCGGTTTGCGAGTGTTTTGCAAGACAAGCACAAAATTTTGATTCGATATACGAGCAAGGTCTTGCAATATGAGTAGTACATACGCTTTGTCTGCCAAGCATCATGTGACGTACATCACAACTGACATGATTGTTCTCGTGCTTCACTCGTATAGTCAATATCTATACTGCAACAGTGGCCCCTCACACCAGCTACAATTCTTTTCAAAGGTAAAGTGCAGGTTAATTTGTTTTATTTTTACTTTATACTGTATTTTGTATTACTGTAATAATTTTTATATGGATAACTGGGTGTTGAACGAATTATCTGAGTTTCCATTTTTTCTTATGGGGAAATTCGCTTTGATATACGAGTGCTTTGGATTATGAAAACGTTGCTGAAACAAATTCCACTCGCAATCCAAGGTTCCACTGTAATATGAATTATGTGAACATATGCTATATGCATATTGTTCTAACAGACACCAAGTGCTGTTGAAATGGTTACCTTATAAGCAATCTGAAATTTTCTAAGCCTTTTGCTACAGCAGGTAGCAAAACATGTAGATGTATCCTGAAATGCCCATTAAGCTGTTTAAAATAAGTGTAGAGGAAATTTTGATTGCACTGATATGTAAACTGATATTAATTAAGAAAAATGTGAGTGAGGTTGAGAGAACAATGGAAGCTGTGCTCAATCAGAAATGTACAAATTAATAGTGCTGTCTGCAGCACTTAACACCAACAGAGGCTTTTTCTTTTACAGTGGAAATAAAAAGTAGCTAAGAATTACCTGGTTTTCTACACAAATTGGTCATAAAATGTGATCTAATCTTTATTTAAATCAGAAAAACAGATAAACAACCTAGGAATCTGTGAGGAAGAATGGAATGGCCCAAAATTCCTCTTCAATGTTATGCAGGTTTGATCCACAGCTACAGGCGAGTACTTGTTTGAAGTTATCGCTGCCAAAGGAGCTTCAACCATTTATTAAATCCAAGGGTTCACTTACTTTTTTCCACTAGCATGGTGAATGTTTTAGAGTTTAAGCACAGTGTGTTTGTCTATATTTGTGACTTAGATGAAGATCAGATCACATTTTATGATCAGTAGAAAACCAGGTAATTCCAAATGGTTTACGTACATTTTCTTGCCACTGTACCTTATGCCTAATAAATTTATGAATGTTAATTTTCTTGTTGTGTCTTTTCATTTGAACTGTTTGTCAATGAATGGATATTGATTTTTATTTTTGAATCTTGCTGTGTAAATGTAATATTTTAATAACAATAATAAAAATGACTGATGACTAATGATGAGATTTTTTTGATGTCCTCTAAAGCTTCTGACACACCTGCACCTTTCACCTGTAATGCCATTTTGGGTAACTAACCATGGACTGGATAAAACTGACATTTTGGCCTACTGACACCATCTCATACCAGTTCAGGTTTAGTGAAGTTTAGCTAGCAAAACTCAAATTTAACCAACAATAAAAAGCAAATACACAAATGCATTGTATCGCTCTTACAACAGCCCAAACCTCATCCACCCCACCCACATAGGCAAAAGGGCCAGCGACTTCTAGCATGCGTCTTTGATAATGAACTGGCAGGCAGTGAGAGATGGGTCGTCATTCAGCTTGTCCACAGATAATAGACTGTAAAAAACTGCAAAAACTCTTGGTGAAAAATTGATTAACCTCACAGGAACTATAGTTACAGCTTAAGGTAAACGTAATGATCTACTTTTTCCTTCTTTCTTTAAAAACAGCTTATAGGCAAGAAAATGCAGCTTGTGTTTCTCTCTGCTGGTGTGATTACATAATGTTTAACAGCAGTCACCAAAACAGCAGAGAAGCCTCTGTATCCTGAAGTTATATTCCATCCAAATTCCCCCTGGAATTAGAAACAGAGGCAGAAAGTCTTCAGTGCTGACAGGACTTTTCCATGGCAGATTGCTTTTTAATTCTAAGCGCTCTGTATAAATCCTACCAAGATCTAGCATATAATAATTAGATGTAATTCACTTAAAATTTACATATTTAAAGTTGCTCTAAATTATACTTTTATATATTTACAATAGGTCAGATGACTATGTGCAATATGAAAGGTCACTATATCACTGTACTCTGTGGTTATTCTCAGCTATAAGGAGCATTTTAACACCTTTCAGCTCAATCTTTTGGTGTTCGGCCCAAATGTTTATTGTTTTGGCACAGTGCCATTTCAGATTATAAATAAATTTGAATTTACTTTTAATCATTTTACTTTTTAATAGTTTAAGTATAACTGAAAATAAATATGTCAAATAAAAGCACTGGTACCAAAACAGCTCATTGACTCATTATTTCCATACTGCTGCCCTCTTCTTTTTTGGCCCTATCACATATCCTCACCTTCTTCTTCTCCTATGTTTGGACAAATGAAATTCAAGTACTTCTTCCCTCTGCTTCCCCCCCACCCCACCCCGACCCAGTTGCATTTGGTTAGCTGAGCTGTTAAGTCCGGTAGAGTTTTTGTTTTTCAAGATGTCCTGGACTGGAGTCTTCATCTTCTCTTTGTTCACCATCTTTCTCATTTTCACCTGTGAGTACCTTGTCTGGATGTTTGAAGGAAAAGGGTGGGTGGAGGGTGGGAATGATACATTCTCAGGAGAATAATTTTGAGGAATTAATCACTTATATATGCCATTATCCTTTAATATGGAAAGGATATTTTGGTAGTATTGTGTTGTCTTGAACATGACTTTAAACTTGTCATTTACATTATTAGCTCCAAATTTTTGACTCAATAAGAATGAAGTTCTCCTGTAATAACTAATCTTGTGGAAATCTGCATTTTAATTATCATGAATTTTTGTCATCAGTTTCTTGTGTGGCATTTTCAAGACTATTTTTGACAATAAGCAAAAACTGAATTTTATAAATGATACCTTTGGAGTCTTTTTTGCCACAAATAATCAAGTTTGTTTTGGCTGGAAATTTCCACAGCTTAGTGTATATGCTTTTTTGCTTCAATTTATTAGATGTATGCATTTGCCTTTCTTATCAACCTGATAAAAATACAATAGCATATTTTAGAGTAAAAACTGGAAATAATAGGTAGGTAATAATAATAATAGGTTTTCATTTTGTCAATAGTTTCCAGTGTGGTGGAAAGCGCAGCAGTATGGGATGACTCAAAATCACCCATTCCTAATGGTAATATATGTTTATTGCCACTTTCATCTATTTCATATTAATGTTTGCTTTACACTTCCTCCATATGTGATGTTTGATCTCTGACCCTTATGCACAGCACAGCAAGTGTTCATCCCCGAGTCAGATGCCTCAAACGTTTTCAAACGCCGCAGTCGCCGGACAGTCCAATACTATGAGATCCAAGGTAGGTCATTTAAATTCTCCATTCAAAGGCCAAAATAAAGGCTGCTGCCAGCTGCTAGAGGGAAGTTGATTAGAGTTGTCTGCTTGTTGGTTTTTATTAAGAGCTGGATGTCATAAAGTTTGGAGGATAGATAACTATTAGGCTACTCTTTGTTCTAAGTCAGATTCCTGCAGCAGTAAGAAGATGGCCCATGTGTTTTCATCCTAACAATCAACATAGACTATGGACGTCATTTCTATGAAATGGTGGAAACAATTTAGGAAGAATAAAATCATTTAAACGTGAGCTCTGCACCTGACAGCCCAGATAATTAAAGAGGCAGCAGTGGAAACTCAGGCAAGTGTTACTCTATACAGTAGCAGGCTAGAGACATGCATACCATTAAGAATGATTTTATTATACCAAGAAAAAGAGGGAGAGCCTGATCCATACTTCCTTGTGACTCCTGCAGCCTCCTGTTTAAACTGTCATTATCACTATGCCAACACAATTCAAACGAAATGAACAAACACACAGATGCAAAGTGTTACAGAACAATCCTGCAAACATGTACTTATGTTCACATGGAATCTACAAATCAAGCACAAACACAATATTCCTTCAATTAATATAGACAAACAGGCCAACATTCCTGGGACCCGGTACATGACAAAAACAAGTGTGTGTGTGTGTGTGTGTGTGTGTGTGTAAGGACTTTGAATTGTCTTTTAAAAATCTGATATCCTGTATGTAGTATTCCCAGCATATGTTGAATGATTGCATAATTAAATGTGACTTCAATGCATGCTAACATTTTCTAACAAATACAAATTGCAGTGGAAGTTGATGAGAATCTCAATTTGGCAGGTATAAATCAAAGTAGTTGAAAAAAATACATCAGATTGTTTATGGCGGGAACAGTATTGGCTGCACCTGTTTCATCTATCAGTATCGTGTGTATACAGAAAAAAATTTTGGCTGACTTCTCAGCCCTCCCTTCCTTTGTTCTCTCCAAAGCTGAGCAGAGGGTTAAGATTTCTGCAAGCGAGTGGAGAAGGGAGTACAATGAAGAACAAAGGAATGAGTATGAAAACTACGTTGAAGAGGATCGTGATGGTAAGAAATGAATGCAGCTGCTTCCATAAAGCAAACAAAATTAAAAATGAGTTCCTAATTCTGTGAAAAAATTGAGAAATTGTAATCCATCAGTCTCTCATTTGCCCCTTTGTAGAGAAGGCTAAAAACACAAACATTTAACATTTAGTGCATCTCAAAATCACTCTACTCCAAGATACTGAATTAAAGAGCCTTTGTATCAGTAAAACCAAACAGTAATGACAACTTGTCAAAGACAGCAGAGAATTGGACAGTAGTGATAGGTGTAGATAGCAAGACATTGCAAACAATGCCATTATTTTTTCTTGCGACTGTATATTCTCACCAACACTGATATATTATCACCTTAACCCTGTAAAGCCCAACATATCAATAAATAGCCAGAACATTCTAGTTTTTTGGAACTGAGATGTTTATTAAACCTTTTAACAAAATCCAAAATAAAATTCATGATTCAAAATTCAAGATTCACGATTTTTATTTGCCATATATGCATAGACAGACAGTCCAGGCATATAAGAATAGAGGTGCCATATTATTTAGATTATTTCTATTTCTTTTGTATCACATTTGATACATGGGGCATTTTTGGTGATTTTTTTTTTTTTTTTTTTGCTCAGAAACCTCACATATCAAATATGATACAAATGGTTTTATGTATGTATGAATGACCCTTTTTCAAAAACAAGTAGTAGTATACAAGCAGATTTTGATCCACTCTAAGCATGTTGATATTGTTGATAGCTGCTTTAATTCAGTTTGTTCTATCAACAGAGCAAAATGAGAGATTGAGGGAGACGACTGAGCAGTTGCGAGAGTATCACTACGATGGCCTTTATCCACGCTACCACTGGTTTCATTGAGTTTGCAGGCTACATTGCCTCTCATTGCAGCAGTAATACTACCAGTCATCTTTATATTGTACCAAAGGTGATTCCTGACATTTTGAGAGCAGGTGCTGAAAATATTTCTATATTGTTCCTACTTTATTATTTTCAAGATCAAATGTTCCTTTATACATCCTAAACCATGCAGTATGTGCCCATGTCAAACTGTAAAATGTGTTCAAAGTACAATTTTTGTATTGTAAACTAAACTCTATATTAAATTGAGTCTCTTTTTTTGCATGCTAGTTTTTATTGCCATTTTGCATTACCTACAAGCTATGTCCTTTATGTCAGTCTGAAACATTAGCAGCAATAAATATACTTCTTTACACTAACTTATTTTGTCAGAGGTGGATTGGCGTTTTACTTTTACTAAGACACAGGACTTTAAGTCAAAATGACACATAAAAATGAGTTTCCTGAGTCTCAGACCACAGATGTTTTAACTGACACAACACTGTCTGGTATTTGAAGTATGTAAAGGGAGGGAGGCAGTGTGGAATAAGAGAGGATGAGGAGAGCTGCTTAAGCCATCGGGCTGAAATGAATCCCACATTCCAGAGTGGACGTATTAGACACAAACTATGCAACACAGAAACAGAAGAGGTAAGTAGAGGGAAAAAGCAGCACAACAAATTATACCCTCCACATCAGGTGGCATGGCCATTTTTTCCCTTTAAGAATAGCTTTCAAACAATTTGCAGCAAGGAAATTGCTAAATATAGCATATAGCATAAAAGTAAATAATGTAGCAATATTGGTACCTTTCATTAAATGATACTCCCCCTCTGGGGGAGGCAACAGTGGTGTGGTGGGTAAAGCAGTCGTCTCCCAATTTGAAGAAATCATCTTCAGATCACATAACACAGACCTGCCATTACACCCTCTTTAGATTTTCTGTATATTACGTTTTCACATTTTATGCAGTCTATCCTCTGTATAAGAGGAAGTATTTTCGTTCAGTCATAAAGAATGTTCTTTAACCAGTGAAGAGCGTGTTCATTTTTATACTTTCAAGATTAAAGGAATTTGAAAAGTAAACATTGAAGTTGGGCTTATGATTCAGTTTGTATCTAGGAAAATAGTTACACCTTTTTCACAGCAGACATTGTGACTGGTCATAATGGAAAAAGCACAGGGGTGGGTTACTAATATTAAAAATGGCTCTGTTCAGAATCAGAATCAAAATCTGGATCAGCTTTATTGGCCAGGTGTGTTGAACACAAGAGGAATTGGACTTTGGTACAGTGTTCTTCCATAAGGAAACAAGTAAACAAGATGACTGAGAAAACAAGAAAAGAAAAAGAATTAGGAGAATTTTAAAAAAGTACTTATTAGTATTGCACTGAGGGTTGTCATTCTGTTATACAGTCATGAGTTAAGTGTTCATCAGTGTCCTTTGTATCTTGTGTTTTGGCGTATAGTGACCTGTAGTGCTGTCCAGAGGGGAGGGGTTTAAATAGTTTGTAATCAGGATGTGAGGGGTCTGCAGAAATCTTCTCTGCCCTTCTCTTTACCTGTGAGGTGTACAGGTCCTCCATGGAGGGCAGGCTGGCACCAATAATTCTTCCTGCAGTCCTGACTGTTGGCTGTAGTCTGTTCCTGTCCTATATGGTTGCTGAACCAAACTAGACACATGCATGAGCAGAGAACCGACTCAATGATTCCTTTGCAGAACTGTATCAGTAGCTCCTGGGGCAGGTTGAACTTAGGCTGAAGTCATTAAAACTGATTTTCTAACCACTCCACAGATGGCAAGTCAGCTAGGACATGTACTTTATGCATCATGTAATATTTTCAGCTGTTGTTTACAGATAGACCATTTCACTATAGCACAATTCCAGTGGGTCAGAAATTTTCACATGATGAGGTGGTGGTGGAATTAATTTCACTATTTTTGGGTTGTTTTGTGACAGTGTACTGCATATGAGATACAAAGGAAGCTGGGGAGAGACACTGTTGATTAGATTTGTTTTTGTGGAATAAGGTTACCTATTGGAAATGAGAGACAATAAGTTTTGTCTTTTGTTAAACTCTACCTGTCTGTTAAAGAAACAGTTGCCTGTTAAAAAAAGGTTTAAGCAGTTTAGTTAAAAAGCAAACTTAAGAGAGAAAACTGACCCTTATAGTGGGGTGAAACAGCTGCTTTTCCCTAAATTCAAACTACCTTGTTTTTTTGTGTGTGTTTAAATGTAATCAAGTACATGGTCTGAAACAAACCAATATTTTATCTATGAGAACATTCGCATTCCCATTGTTCCTCTTCTTGTGCAGGGCTGGCAGGTTGTAGGTGGGGGGTGGGTGGTCTGAGGACCATGTGCCGCTGAAGGAGACTCTTCCTCGGTGTCCGTTCTGTCTGGATGCAGGGATTCTGGTAAATCCCCTAACCCCTGAGTTCACGCTCTGGTGCTCTAAACAAAGCAACTGACTGAATACGATGACTGTAGCTCGCTCTCCCTGATAAATGCATTATAACCTACACTAGGTTTAGATTAAACACTGCTGTCATATAGTTTTGCATATGATAATTTATGGTCAACATAAATTAAAAGAATTATTTAATTTATCAGACTGTTTATTTTTATTCTACATTTAATTCATACCTCTAACAAAACAATCAAGTTAAGCTATGCCAGGGAGAAAGAAAAGCTTCTCATAAGTTAAAAAAGAATTAGACTGTTTATTCTAAAATTATTGCTTACATCTAACTAAACGATCTGGTTTAAACATTGCTGAAATTCAACTGTGTGAATTATTTAAGAGAGAAGCAATAATCCTTATACATATCAGTCTTCAGAAAACATCAGCCTATATTTGGGTGCTGTTTTTCAGACTGAATATAATCAAAACCTTTTGATGTGTCAAACCTAGCCTGTGGTGGTGTTGCAGTAGAAAGCAGACTTTATGACACGCAGGTGCTTTCTGTCCGAACCTGCACCCTGTGAGAAACCCTAATAAAATAATGTAATGTGGATATGCGAGGTCTTTTGAAGTATATAGTTACCGGTCTAGGTGTATGTAAGGAAGGTGGGTCTTAGAGTTGGAAATGTGAAATGTGTGCCCAAACATCATAAACACCTGGGTTTGACAGGAGCGATATTTTATCTCTCTCTCTGTCCTCTGGTCTGTCTTAAGGTGATTTTTATGTTTAAGTAGATATGAATAGAATTAGTTAAGGTCTTCTCTTTTCAAAAGAAAAAAAAACCTCTCCCCACATCTGATGAAAAAAAATTTCAACTGTTTGGCCATAATGACCATTGTTATGTCTGGAGGAAAAAGTGGGAGGCTTACAAGCCGAAGAACACCACCCCAACCGTGAAGCACGTGGGGACAGCATCATGTTGTGGGGATGCTTTGCTGGAGGAGGGACTGGGGCACTTAACGAAATAGAGAGCATCATAAGGAAGGAAGATTAGGTAGATATATTGAATAAATGTCTCAAGACTTCAGCTAGGAAGTTAAAGCCTGGGTCATCCAAATGAACAATGACCCCAAGCATACTTCCAAAGTTGTAGCAAAATGGCTTAAGGACAAAGTCAAGTATTGGAATGGTCATCACAAAGCCCTGACCTCAATCCAATATAAAATTTTTTGGCAGAACTGAAAAAGCATGTGTGAACACGGAGGCCTACAACCCTCACTCAGTTACACCGGTTCTGCTACTCCGGAGGAATGGACTAAAATTCTAGCAACTTATTTTAAGAAGCTTATGGAAGGCATCCCAAAGAATTGGACCCAACTTAAACAATTTAAAGGCAATGCTACCAAATGCTAATAGTACATGTAACATGTAAACTTCTGACGCACTGGGAATGTGATGTAAAAAATAAAAGCTGAAAGAAATCTTTTTTTCACTATTATTCTGACATTTCGCATTCTTAAAATAAAGTAGTGATCCTAATTGCCCTAAGACAGGGAATGTTCATAGGATTAAATATCACCAGTTATGAAACACTTCTTCTATTGAAGTCCACTGTCATTTCCACTGTTTTGAGTGTGTTCAGCCCCAGGTCGTTGTGACCGCACCACAGGGCCAGCGGTCCAAACCTCCCATCTGAAGGCAGCTCCCATCTGAAGGCAGACTCGTCACTGCCTTGGATGCCCATTGTGTCAGTGGAAAAAAGGCCTATTATGCAAAAATGGGTTTAATGTTTATATTTTAATTGGATGAATATATTTACATCGTATGCTGATATAATTTCACTAGATATTTAGACTTTCCATACTTTCCAGTGGTGCAGCAGAATCTGTGCATTCACACGATAAGTAGAAACAGCTATGTCACGTGAATTGTTGCTAATTATTCAACTCAGCTTTCAACACCATAATGAGCTTCTTTCCAGCATACTAGTAAAATTACAGTTTAGATCTCCATAATCAACAAAACAACAAACTTTAAAAACAATCATACAAAAGTAAAAATGCTACTAATACACTTATTGCAGACAAAAATATAAATGATGTTGTTCCCTCAACAAGCACTTTGTGGTAGTGATGAAGATGCTGTTACTTCATGCTGTTGAGGAACTTGGGGTGCTCCTCTCCTCGAGGCTGCAAAAGCTCTCCTCCAAGCTTTGGTCCAGTTTTCTCCTGCAGTAAAACAGAGAAAAACATCCAATCCGTTTTCTTTCATATCGATAAATAATGTTCTATTTTTTTCTTTTAAAATGAGAAGAATCTGAGAAAGATTTTACCTTGAGCATCCCATCACGCTCCCATTTAAACAGACCACAGTTACTGAAATGTTATTACATTATAGCAGAGGAGAAAGAGAGAAAATCAGTAAATACAAAAGCCATGACTTGCCATTCTAAAGGTTTCAAGCATCACTTTCTTTCACTTTAGTTTCCTCTGATCCATCTGTTCTATAACGCTTAGTCCTGAATGATCAAAGTAATAGGAAAGTGATAACAAGAGCCTCAGGTGCACAATCAGTGTCTTACCTGCAGTGTTTGTGTGGTAGTCTGTCCAGAGCAATGGCCCTCTGTCCACAGGGACATTTGAAGAAACGTTTCATGGAATCATGCCATCGCAGATTGTGATTCTCCTCCACACAGCGATCCGCCGGCTTGAAGTATGTATAATTACACTGAAAGCAGGGGATCATGGAAAATAACAACTTGCTTTTTCAAGTTTTGACAGACATTTACAGGCTATTACATTGATACACAAACATGAGCTTTAAGAAAGATTTTTTTTTTTTTAAATAAATACCTCATACAGTACAGCTCATTTTGTTTATACAAGCTACCAAGTACCTTTTTACAGGTGACAGCACGACACTTCACTTCTTTGATGCCCTTCATCTTCTCTTCCATCTGCTCCTTCTTCACCAGAGTGTCAAAGTATCTCTCCTGTAGCTGGTACTCCGCCTGACAGAGAGGAGATTCAGACAGACTTTCACTCACTCACACATACTCTACTTTACTATGCTTAATTGGCTTAGGAAAACAAGATTGTAATAAAGTGGCACTTGACATACTGCCTGTAGTACAACCCCATGACGGGACTTGGTGTTCAGGATCTTCTGAAAAGCCTCTGACTGGATGTAGTCGAGCTGATCTCGCTTCTTCTTCTGGGCTGGCTCCTCCTCATTACTGGATGATTCAACTGCACAATTAAGTGAAAGAACAGGTGATAACCAGCAAGAAGTAACAAATTTCACGGTGTAAACAATGGCAGAATTCTGAAAAATTACTAATCAAATCCAGTGCACAACAATTTGTATTTCCTAGTGATGCCTTGTCCTGTCTTAAAGATAATGGAATGATTTGCTTATCTGAACCGTAACCATATAAAATACCTAAAACCAGTTACATTTATGTTGTGCTTCAGTATACATGGAGGAGATAACATTCTGTGACAGAAAAAAACACAACCATGAAGATGGGTACCTAAATGTTCTGTAGTGCTACCAATCAAATTTAGCTGCTACAAAGATTATCACCTGAAACCTTAAAATTGATTTCCATCTCGTTCCCACCCACAGTATATTACTGCAATGAGAGCAATGTGTTAAAATAACAAAATCAACTATTTGTGTACTGGTATGATGTACAAAAGGGGTATGCTGTAATTTAATTACAAAAATAAATCAATACCATGAAAAGGTTAAAAATGCCTCAAAAATTAGAACAAAAATGATACAAAAAACTAAATGAATGAAAAAAACACAACCAGGAGATGAAAGTATGAATGACCCCTAAAGTGTATCTGAGTGTACCATTTGGTGAGGCCAGATTCTTCTCCACTCGGTCGCTGATCTCACTGATGTTACTCCTCTTCCTCTTCACTGCATTGGGGTCGTCTTTTTCGAACCCAGCTCCTTTGGTTCTGAGCTTCTTCAGTGCAGCCAGCTTGGGGGCTGATAGGCTGACAGCACTGGAAGCAAGAGCTGGAGACGGAGACAGGCTGTTTTCTAAGAACAAGATGTCTTCACCCTCAGAGAATCCTCGGCCCAGGGTGGGGGCCATTGTAGGGCTGTGGATGACACAGGGAGCCTTGGAAGCAGTTTTTGGGGACATCAGACTGTCCTGGCCTAGTAAGGACGATGACCCTGGTCTGGGCCCAGCTGAGTCCTGCAGCAATGTCTTCTGGATCTCATCTGCCCTCCTCCGGCGGTTCACCAGAAGCTCCTTTTGCTTCTGTTTCTGCTGCTTCAGCAGGTCTGAGGCTGAGATAGACTGAATTGGACCTCCAGCAGTGTCTTTGGAGACTGAGGATGGACAGCAGCTTAACAGGTTAAGTGTGATTCTATGAAAACTGTGGTTCATACATGTTTATAGGCTAAAATGTGCTCATTAAGGACATGTAGATAATCTTATGGTGGATTATATGCCAGAGAAATTAACATCAATGAATTGAATCCTGATTTCAAAACTGTGGAAATCAACATTTCTTGTATATTCAACCTAACATTCAAAGCTATCAGAGGAGCCAAAGCCACAGAGAGATTTCGAGGTTGTGTACCTGATTGGCTACCCTGTGCTAAGTGCTTCTTCAGCTGCAGAGCTCCAGGTGTTGGCATAGACATCAGGCTCTTAAATTCATTTGAACAACCTGAAACTTCACCAGACTTTACAGCTATAAAAAAAAAATAAAAAATAAAAAAAATAAGAAACTAAACAGTCACAGTCAAAAGGGGGATTTAAAATTTTCCTTCCTAGTTTTAAAATACATTCCAGCTAGAACATGTGCGTAGGCAACTTGATTTGGTTCATTGGAGGTGATGTAATACAAAACATCTGTAAAATCCAACAGGTCCTCAAAGCACATATAAATGTATTTAGCAGTAAAAAAAAAAAAGAAACTAAACAGTCAGGTTAAGGTGGGGCTCTTTAACACACAACTTGAACCCTGATTTTTTTGCCCATATTTACTGACATATAAAAGTATGCCGATTTAGCTATTAGCAGAGATAATGATATCCTCGAGAAGTGAGAAAGTTACAATGCATCTATAAATGTGTTCAGATCAGAGTGACTCCAAGAATGAGGATAAGGGCTTTAAAGTACCTTAATTACCTCCGGTCACTGCTGCTGACCACGATGGTGAGCAGGCCAAACTACAATAACTAACTTGCAGTTTGTTTCTCCCTCTGTGTATGTGTTAGAGAAACAACCAGTCCTTACCGAGCCTGTTGGCCTGATTGATGAGCTGAGCTGAGCCTCTGACAAACAGCATGTCCAAAGATTTCTGGACAGGTTTGCTTGGTTTGGATGGCCTTCTGCAACACATAGATCTCTTACTAAAAATGTCACAGAGATGTCAAGATTCTGCCCAGCCCCCACATTCGTTGGCACATGTATTAATTGTGTATTACTGACTGACTGTTTTACTGGAAGCTGCAGTTAGCCAGCACAAATTGATTTTAACACACACTATAAAAGTACAAATGCAATTTCAGCCAGAATCTTAATTGGACAGACTTGTGACATGTAGGACTGTCATCTGTTTTGATGCAAACACTTGGAGTTGACTTCCAATATTCTACACAGGAGCTCTTTAAATAACTACATTCATTATTAATTCCTTAAATTAAATACTATACTTTAAGGAGAAGATTTGTGGAAAGCATTGGCATGGCCTGAAACATGCAGAACACACAATGAAACGGCTACATCACTCACAGGGACGCAGCGCAGGCAGCTGAGGACACGCCGCTGTAGTAGAAATTGTCCTGACACCGCCGCTCTCTCAGGCTCCCCCAGAAATTGTCCTGACACAGCCGCTCTCTCAGGCTCCCACCCTTCCCCTTCACTTTATTGGGCGCTTTTCCAGAAAACGATGACTGCAGCTCAGCCCTCTTTGAGCTCATCTTCTTATACTGGGCTTTAACATGATACTGGCAGTACTGGCACTCATACTGACAGCAAGAACAACCACACAAAAATCTGCTGTCAGATATAATGCAATACTGGTCTTCAGAGAGAATTCTGATTATTATTGTCTTATGTGAAGAAATTGTGTAGGAGAGGATGGACCCACCAGGTTAACAATCTGAGAGCAGGGTTCTCCATTCTTCTTCATGGCCTTGCACATGCCATAGTCCTGAGCTTCACCCATCAGCAGCACCTTCTGTGGGTGATCCACCATCAGGCTGACCTGCACATAGTCAGCACAAGCTTATTTTCTGAAAGGTGTTAACAAGTGATTAACATTGAAAACACAGAGAATTAAAAATGCAACAAAGACAAAATATTGGCTTTATCTTTTGCCTGTCTTAATAATTTACAAGTTCAGACTGCTAAAGCTGAAGAAGACACCAATGTTTGTTTATATATATTAAAATAATATTTGGCAGTTAAACTTTTTATAAGGATTCCTTAAATTAGTTTCACTCTGTGTAAACAGACATTTTACAGGTGAAAAATAAATGATTTCTAAGTATTTAACAGAAATGTTGTTTGCAATGACTTAAAACATATTGCTGTTATTTTGTTCTGGAATTTCTTGTTGATAAATCCACAGTCAAACTAATCTGCAAAAACGCAAACACCAAGAGATACTAAGAGATACAGTCTGTTTTGTGTGTTTTAGATTTATATTGTGTTAATTTTGCCTTCTTCTTAAACATCTTTTTAAAAAGATGGATTTCAATACATAAAATATATATTTGTAATTACTGATTAGTAGATCAACTGACAGTTAAGCTTTGATTTAGTTCATGTGTGGAATGCTTGTATGTGAAGTCAGTTCTGGGTGAATGATGAGAAAGTGTGTGTTTGGTGTGCAGTTGAGCGCAACATTGACTTCTCTCACCACTTTCTTCGCTTAACATCTGAGCTTGTCATGCAATGCTGACACCAGCTGCCTACTTTCATCAAAATCACCAATCTGGCTTCTGGTTTAATAGGCAG